AAAGGAAGGAAGAAAAAGAAACAGCTTCCTTTGTTTCTCCTTGCATTTTAGCTATACTTCCCTTTCCCTGCGGCAGCGGAGGCCAAGGTCTAGGTTGGTTTGAGAGACGGTGATGGAGGGTGACATATTAAAGAAAGGGAGAACCACCCCCTACACACACACATACATTTTGCATCTCAACCCTCCACTAACTCCACAGTTGGTACTTTTTCCAACCCCCTAATGATGCGACTTCTCCGAGCCTCTGTCCTCCATCCCCTCTATTTCTGCTTATAAAACTCTGACCTCTCATTTGTGGTTTGATTAATACGTTCATGGAATAGATAATAAGAGATGATGCCAGATACTGAGATGATAACTAGTCTCCTTCCATCCAAGAGTTTACAGTTTAGTGGGGAAAACCAACACACTAGCAGCTAATTTATATCCACCCTAAATCTAATCCTCCTGTGTTCTCTTTCTTAGGGACTGAAACTAACAACCACCCACTTCTAACCCCAGAACCCTCCCTCTTTGTTCTTCAACCCTCCAATACCCTGAACAATTCATTCACCAAGTCCCTGGATTCTGCCTCTCAAGTGTTTCTCAAATGTGTCCCTCCTCTCCATCCTAGTTGCTGTGAGCCTATTTCAGGACACCCTTATCCCTCCTCTGAACCGTGACCTTCCAGCTGATCTTTCAGCCACCTCAGCACCTGTCTCAAATGCCAGGATTATCCTGGCAATTCCCTCAGCTGCCACGATCTACAGTAGAGAGTCCACAGTTCAACCTCACAATCAAGGGCCCCGATAAACTGGCCCTGCCCATTTCCAGCCTTAGTTTCTGCTGCCACAATCTCTTTCTTTCTGTTCCAGCAATGCCCCCTGCCATGGCTCTTCCCCTACAGGCTTCCATGCTGTCTCCCAGCTGCCTCTAGTCATTGTTTAGATGACTCCCCCGCACACCTCCTGGCTCCAAATAAACTGGTAGCTTGTCTTTGTGTTTCTATGGCAACTCATGCCCTTCTCTCATTGTGTATAATGGCCTGTCTCTCCCACCAGTCTGAGAGTTCCTGAAGGCAAGGACCACGCCTGTTCATGTGTGTCCTCACTACCTAGCACATAGTAAAGAGTACAGTATGTGTCAAGCACTGTCCTAAGCACTTCTCACACATCAATTCATTTAATCCTCAGGCCACTATGTGGAAGGTGTTTTTATTGTGTCCATTTCATGGTTGAGGACTGTAGAGATTAAGCAGCTTGCTCAGGACACGATAGTCAGGGAGGGAAGTAGCAGAATTGGGATTTGAACTCAGGTAACCTGGCTGCAGCTATTGCTCTTAATCACTGATCTCATCTGCTCCTCAATTTCCATGTGTGTGTTGAATGAATAAAAGATGATTCGTTTTTACTTCCCCATTTCAATATGTCCAGAACCAAAACAAATAGTTTTCTCCCAATAGCTTCTCTTTTCCCCACATCCGCCCCGCACTGCCCCTGCAGGGTCTCAGAGAAGCCTGGAGTCTTCGACTTTCACGTCTCTCCTTCCTAATCCCATTCGATCTCTCATCATGTCTAGGTGTTTTGTTTTGTTTTTCCTTGGAAACATCTATCAGAGTCTCTCCATTGACAACTGCTGTCATCCTGGTCTGGTCTTCATCCCTTCAGGCCAGATGACCACAGCATCTTCCAGACTGGTTTCCCTGACTTCACTGCCTCACTCTGTCGGGCCCTTGGAGTTTCCATGCATTTTTATTCAACCTTCACAGCAATCCATGAACGAAATACGACTATTCATGTTTTATAGATGAGGAACTGAACAACAGAATTCAGGTTCAAACAGAGTTTGACTGGCTCCACGGATTCTTTCATCGCTAAGAAGACTAGTGACTTTAAGCAAGCCACTTAGACTCCAAGAGTCTCAGATTTCTCATTTGTCAAATGGGAATAACAACAGTAATTACCTCATTGTGAGAACAAACGAGACGACACTTAGCACAATGCCTGGCACACGGTGAGTGCTCAACGGTAATCAGCAATTAAAGTTCACCTCCCCCCCCCCATATGTAGCATACGAGTTCAATAACTGTTGTAACCAAAACGTTTTCTGGAAGACCTCTTAAACCATAGAGCAGAAGTTGCCATACCCGGCCCCTTCTCTGTCCCCGAAAGGTGTCTCTTCCTGGGAAGCACCATATGCTGTAAGAAAAAATTACCTTAACGGTCACTTGAAGAATGCACAGCAAAAGAAAAACACACCCCAGTCTAGAAGACAGTGCACAGAATTTGTGAGCACACAAAATCTTGAAACCTCTCTGACCTTTTCTTATCTACAAAATGGGAATAGTAACATCTTCCCACCCAAGAATATTGAGACAGTGCACATACAGCCTTCGGCGCATTGCTGGATACAGTAAGAGCTGCAGAAAGGAGTTGTGCAACATCATTATAGTCAGACAATGTATACCAGCAGGCTTTGTAAGTCGAGGACGAAATGGATTTCTAAATCAACATGTTATCAAAATCAAGAATTAAAAGTAGAGGAAAGGTGAAAGGATTATGCAAAGCAGGTATTACTGCGTATCTTGGAAACCTGATGGCCTTTCCAGCAAGGGAACAAGCAGATCCTACCCCTGAATCTTGAGGGGCGAGTAGAAAGAAGACCCGCCCTTCTCCCCCGCCCCCAGAGCCCCGCCTCCAGGATCGTGTGACGTGATGCCCAGGCCCCACCGATGCAGGGCGGGGCCAGTCCGGGTCACGTGAACATGGGTGCGGAAGTGGTGCCGCTGACGGCGTTCGTGATTGGCCGAGGCTGAGAG